GGGTTGCTAAGTACATCTGAGTACGGCATCAACACACACACACACACACACACACACACACACACACACACACACACACACACAAACGCGCGCGCGCTCATCCATATACACTAAAACAACCACCCACACGTATCCCCATGCACAAACACACATGCATGTACACAAATAGAGATTGAAACATACAGATTCACAAAGACTGGTTCGCATAAGTATTATCATGCGCACGCATGCCTATGTTCAAAACAGCTTATATGGTACAAGCTCACTTTGACAAACACACAAAATCTCATACGCACACACATAAGAACAATCGAGCAGAAATACACAAAATATTCGAAGAAAAATTTGTAACAGGTAGCACTCGTTCTCAATGAATGAGTGGCAAAAGTTATTGCACTTTCCGTACAGAGACAGCTGTGACTTCTATCACGAGCTATCTTCGCCCTCCTTGTTCCTCCCGGACTGGAAGACGGTTGTCTCGAACAAGGTGAAGGCTGACACCAGCAAGGCCAGAAGGTACAGGAAGAAGAAGAGTCGGTCAAGGACGAGAGCCACCAGCTTCCACTCGCGGGCCAGATACTCTTTGTTCGCTTTCTCCGCGTTTTTATCAACCAGATGGCGCAGGTGTCGCCGAATCTCCCGCACCTCGGATTCTAATTGGTTATACTGTGACGGCAAGGTCACGATGCGCTCTGAAAGGTCAGTGTCGCTTCCGAGCCCGTTGCTCATTGGACGCCAGTTCTCTTCCGGTTGAAGTTCAAAAACGCCCACTCTATCGTATTTAAACTCGACGTGGCGTTTGTCTTTGTTGTTTTTGGTATAGGAAGCGGTGGTGGTCGTCCCTCCCCCCGGACGGCCACCATTCCCCCCGCCACCGTTTCCTCCCTCGCCGCTAGGGGGCGCTCGACTCATCATGAGACTGTTTCTTCTTTCCTGCCTTTCTTTCTTGTCCATCAGTGTATTCCTCATGCAAAAAACACGGGCAAAGAAGTCTAACATCAGCTGAAACAGAGACATAAAACGCATATCACTTGCCCCAAAACCTCATTGTTAATGAATTATTAAATTTGAATCTCTAAATCAATATATTAAGGAACAGCCAACGATTTAAAAGTTCAACACAGTGAGTTGTTTTATAGAGTTGTCAAGATGTCAAGGGTCAAACAGGTGAAGGTAAATCAATACTCATAAACACCCGAATGACAGATCACAGGAGATTCATACTGTCAAAAATCACGAACTGTATTTTAATCTATCTATGCCATGCAATTCTTCAACAGATTTATAAAGAAAATCATCTCGCATGTCATCCGTCACTCATCCCTCATCCCACCATCCCCTGTCCGCGCTGTGACAAAACTCTCCAGGTGCAGGTCGGTCTGATCAGCCATCTTAGCATTCCTCATTCCCCCTCCCTCCCCCCCAACCCCTTGATGGTCATTGTCGCCTCGACGGACAAGCAACATCTTGGTGATGTCATGGCTCAGAGCCTATCTGTAACACCATCATCATCAGGCCATTCGAAATACAGTCCAAGACAAACGATCACTTCCATCTTCTCTCTTTGCTTTTTTAATTTTTAAAAGGCGTTGTCTACTTAACCCCTTTCCCCCAACAATGGATGGTTGTCTTGGACAGGTTCGTCTGTATTTGAACCATCTAATGCAATTCCTCATCCTTACCCGTTTGAAAAACCGGGGAACTCGAGTGCCTGGTCCGTGAAAGTACAGGTTCACAATGACCACAGACAGAAGTGTGGACAGAGTGATGAGGATCATGTTCAGGCAATAATAGGCACCTGGCGAAAGAGTGAATGTTGTGATCAGGACCAGAAAGACTGACATTCTCACAGTAAAGACAGGGCGTGAAACTAAAGCTTGAAATTGTTTAGAGTCTTGTTGGTGTCTCTCTCATACACAAAATAACCATTCTAACATAAAACAAAAGTGGTAGAGACCAAGACAAAAACGAAGAAGAATATATACTTAAGATCAGCAGCAATGCAGTGGATGGGCAAAAAGCAGAAAGAAATTAAGAATATACATGCTAACGTAAAAGGTGGGAGGGAGGGTCAATATCATACAGATGGATAGATATAAAGATAGTCAGACGCGCAACAGAAAGACAAACAGACAGACAAACAGACTGACAGACAGATTGATAGTTAGATAGTTAGATAGGCATAAAAGTAATAACAGACAGAACTATTTTAGATGGACATTATAGATTCCTACATAGACATCTCTTTTAGAACGAAATTTGGCGTCATCAAGGAAGAATTACTACATGTTTCGTCCCTTTAACTCTGCAGTTTGTAGGGCCAAGAGTGTGATAGATTGTAAAATGATCTATTTAACATTTTACTCTAACTTGAGGGACGACATAACCATTAGCTAAACTCGTTTGTTAAAAGCTTCTACGGTGTTTTTTAACATATGCCATGTGCGTACCATTGCCTTTGGTGCAAAAACATTTTATTAGTAGATATTCAAAGATTTCTTTACATAAACACCAACACACACAAATATACATACGCACCCACCCACACAAGCACAAACAGACGCACAAACCCACAAACACACACACACACACACACACACACACACACACACACACACAGACACACGCACACACAATATTACTGGAAAGAAATGTGTTTTGGAAAAAATGTAGGTATCCAAACCTCCACAAAGACAAGCAACAGTAATATTTCGTTATCTCTGGCGTCCGCCTACCACATAATATATCTTCCCTTCCGCATGTTTTATCACTTTCCCCAATTCTTAATGGAGGAGCTTGGTTAGCAAAACAAAACAAAACAAAACCGAACACACATGCACACACACACGCACACAAACCCACACACCTATATATATATATATAAATGTAACGACGCAGTGGAATCAGGCGCTCGACAATTTATGGGCATGTGGAGTTACTGATGTCAACTGAATGCTTGTCTATTAGCCTTATTTTCAGTGAAAAAAAATTCGTCTAGCTTCAGCAGAGTCGAGATATTTGCGACTGAAGAAGATGGAGTAGCCTAGTTTCAGTGGTTAAATTAATGAGAAAATGACAGCCAAAGTTTGGTAACTTCAAGAGCTAAAGAGTCCTTGAAAACTGAAAATTACATATTCTGTGCCTTTAAACAAGTTTTTTCAGTAAAATGCACATGGATATGTGTTTTCATATTAACATAAAAGGTGTTTAGCCATGAAATGAAATTTCGGAAAAAATGGTCAAACTCGTGGAAAAATGCTCTCTTCTTCTATTTCTTAATTTTGACAAGCACCTGATTACTCCAAGATACCTCATATATATATGTATATATATATATATGTATACATACACACACACACACTCACAAACACATACGCTTCTTCCAAAAAGAGAACTGGAGAATTTGAAAAAAAAATGAAGTATAAAAAAAATAAAAATAAAATAAAACAAGATAAAAGAACCCCAAAGACTTTTTAGCTACAAAGGCCCGAAGCTACGTCCTCCCACACAAAAGAAATCCCACAAAGAGAAAACCAAGGCCAAACCATAGACCCCTGGCTACTTTAGAATTAAAAAGTTCTAACTGACATTTCTGGCAGTTTCGAGTTACTGAGACATCAAAATAGTAAGATTTCTATGAGTCGTTCTCAAGAAATTCAAATAATTGCTTTCGTAAAAGCTTGACGTGTTGTCAAACTCAAAATCTTTGACGTCAAATTCCTCAAAACTATACACTGAGCAGATATAATTTTGTACTTCTGAGGTAGCAACATAGCAGTATCATAGTATCCCAGACTGTGCACTCTGGTGCGTAATTCTGGTACACCGGGATGCTCACCATTTATTATCTCTGTTTGAAACCAATTAATACGGAACAAGGAGGGAAAGGTTGCGCGCACTCTCGACTATTGTAAAACTAGTAAGTGTTTTTTGCCCTTCATCAGCGCGTCTACCGTGCCCACCTGGCAGCTTAAGGTAGTTTTTCAAGAGAACAAAGAGTAGCAGCCATGACAGTTCCCGGTCTGTGATAATATTATAAGTCTATGGGCCCAACAATGACAGACATACCTATGAGCGGAATACTGGAGGCGGCTGGGGGCGTCGACTCAGCTAACAGCAAAAGCAACACGAAAAACGCCACAAAGATGTTCATCCCTGCCAGAACAACATGCGAGATGTCATGAAGTGTGCTTTCGTTTCTTTCAAACTTTCAAACAGTGGAAAAAAAAATAATCGACACACTAAACAAGAAACTACCTCCAAAGTTATTTACTTGCAGGAAAAGATGACACCACCCACCAGTGCTTACCAATAAGAAAATCATAACTTTTACAACTGCATCAAACAAATGTTTATTAATCGGTTATCACAGAAATACGCCATTAAGAAAAAAAAGGCTTTAAATCTAAGGAGGATGGCTTACTCAATGTACCGATATAATAAACAAACATAATACATATATCTATAATAATATGTATGTATGTGTGTGTGTGTGTGAGTGTGTGTGTATGTGTGTGTGAGTGTGTGTGTGTGTGTGTGTGTGTGTGTGTGTGTGTGTGTGTGTGTGTGTGCGCGCGAGAGAGAGAGAGCGTGCGTGTGTCTGTGTGTCACACACATACATACCAAGCTGCATCTTAGCAGGAGACTCCGGCGGCAGCCAGAAAAGGACGAGGGTGAGACTGGAAAGCAAGACGCAGGGAAGGATGAGGATGTAGTTGTAGAACGCCACCTTGCGGCGCATGACAAGCTTGAAGATGAGGTCAACATATGGCTCTGGGCAACACTCGTAATAGAGAACGTTACGCCTGGCGTTCGACTCAACGATGTCCCACTCGTTGCTCTTGATGTAGTCGGTCATCTCGAAGCCTGCCACCTCTTTGTAACGGAACTGTGGAGGGTTTTTTTTTGGGTCTGTCTGTCTGTCTGTATGCATGCATGCATGCATGCTAGGTAGGTAGGTAGGTAGGAGGGGGTGGGTAGAGTTTCTTACTAAAGCATTGTAAACGTAAACGCTACGTCAGCATATTGTAAGTTTAAAGATGAATGAGTGCACGTGCAAGCGCACATATCATGTGTCTTTTTATGTACGAACGCAAACATACACACACGTGTGTTTGTGTGTGTGAGTGTGTGTGTGTGTATGTGTGTGTGTTTGTGTGTGTGAGTGCGTGTGTGTGTATGTGTGTGTGTGTGTGTGTGTGTGTGTGTGTGCGTGTGTGTGTGTGTGTGTATAGATATTTATGTTTGTATTTGTGTTTGGGAACAGAGAAGGGGGAGGGATATAATTTTATCGATATCACAGTCATAGTAAGGACCGTGAACACCACAGTTTTTGATTCAAAGCACATTTCAGAGCTGGTGAAGCATTTTCCCTTCGGAAATGATTTTAAAAAAACAACAACATATTACTAGTTCCTTGTCCAGTCCTTCAGGAAATAAAAGTTATTTGTCTCTCCAAAATCTTGGACAATTCTAAAAAGCATTTCAAGCTTTAAACAGAGTTCTATTTATGAAAGATCGATATCCAGATCCGCCATTGAAAGTAATCAGGACATGCACATCCGAACTATTAGCCAAGACTGCACTAGGACAAAACTGTTGGTGAGCTGCGGACAATGAAGATCATGAGAAGCAGGATTAGATAATCATTGTGTTGTGTTGGTGCTGTTTGCTTCTCATATTATGCTCATTGTCCTCAACTCACTGACAAGACTATTTGCCAACTGTTTTGTCGTAGTGCCCCACTGGGCTTATTGTACCTCACCCATGTGACGCTGATCACTGATCAAGTTGAAACACGCCCATGAAACAATCTGGATGTCGTAATCCTATGCCAGTGAATATTTTACGATGATTAATTTTGAATTAACGGGAGCTGAAACACAGCCCTCCCCTACCTCTTTATTAACGATGTAAAAGCGATAACACATATGCATAACGCCTCTCTGAACATAACAAGTAACACGTACAGAGACATTCGACAGAGCAGCTTCTCATTGAATAAACGTCGTTATCTATACATGACGCGTTTTGTCCTCTAGTCATGATGAGATTTTGAAAGCTGGAAGGAAATCCTGGAGGTTTCAGCTCAGGGGCGCCACATTCACGCGGTGATGATTCAATTCTTACCAGGGAGGTGATCCTGCCCACAAAAGAAATCCAATACAATATCGAACTCTAATCCGGCAGCCTGAGCTGAATTTAAAAATCGAATAAATCGACCACTGCAACTCTTTGTGTTTTCAGGAGAAGGCAATGCTATTTAAAAAAGAGGTTAGGATGACCGCCGTATCTTTAGAATCTAAACTCAGTGTTTAACAGTGTGATCATTAGCGAAAACGATAAATTCCCACCAGTGACAGTAGATTCATTAGAACAGTTTTTTTGATAACATACATATAACTACCCAAAAGTAGGCGTCTAAATATATCCTTTAATTCTAGACACCTGCGTGCCTTTAGAACAACTTAGAGCTTGGGGCAAATATTATATCATGCGTTGCTGTCGACTGCCGCTTTAGTCACGACAGCCTTGCTGTCACTACTCTCTCTCT